GAGCTGCGACGGTCTGGTTTGACACACGAGAAGCAGCAAACGAGCAGTTACTGGAAGGAGTTGGGCACATAATTGCACCGGATGTCATTACACGCCTGCAACATTCTAGACCGTAAGTAGCAACATAATTTCACCGGTGTGCCTCTGTTGCGTGGTCCAGGATCTTGGTGCTCTTAAAGTTTACCCCATGCGCCTTTTGAGAGGCGAAACATTATCTTGTTTTTGTTTTTTGTTTTTATTTTTGATTGGTCATCCCTTGGAACGCCGGTCCTTTGTTAAAAGAAATCCATTTGTCCCTTCTCGTGACTGGGAGGGCTTTTTCAGTTTTTTCAGCTAATCTCGCGTTATCCTCTTGCAGCGTTTGAGCTGCGCACCTGTTATTAGACCAATTTCGAATAGAGAGACGCAGCTTCATCAAAAGTGTTGATACAGTGTAACTAGGCTATAAGGCTAGACTTTTTCATAAACATATTGCTATAATTATCGCACAGAATTAAAGCTTGCATGTGCCACATGTTGAGATAAGCATCAGAACCGGTTCGCGGGTCGGTGAGCATTTCTACTTAGGTCTGCGTCTAAGCTCGCTGATCAATTGAATTTAAGCCTCTTGAGCGACGCGAGGGAAACCCGCTGACACATGCACCCCAGTCTTTTTGTGCGCACAACCCCGGCTAACCGGTCCATCCCCCTGTTAACTTGCACAACTATAGATCCTAACCAAACAGTGAGGGCTTCTGTGCCTAAACACACTACATTTGCAGTGTGTCTGTGACTTGTACTGTAGAAAGTGGTTACTCTGTACAGGGCTCTTAATAATTGAAAGGACAGCGATCTGATCATGGGATTAATTATAGATTAATAACGAGCAACTGGTGTCAGCTAACAGTGCGTCTGTAGAAGGATGTTATGTGTAGAGTATAATTAAGTTCAAATGTAGAACCAATTTTCAACCAGGTTTGATATTAGCTGGTTGTAAATACTGAGGACATTTTTGCATAGGAAACTGTGGAAAAACAATCTTCTGTGTATACTTGGAGGATTTTTTTATAGACTCATTTAAATGCATTCCATTTTCTTTTCCATTTAAATCCCTAAAATGCAAACCTGGAATAAGATATATACAGTGAAACAGCTCTACTGCCGCACTAATCAGATAATGTCATGTAACTCTAACTGAAGGTTACTTTCTCCTGATTTCCTCTCCTATAGTGTAAACAAGAGCAATGGCAGCAATGGAAGTTGTGACACATTTTGTAAACGACAGTCTAGAATTTTACAAATGGAGCCTTTCTATAGCAGGTGAGTTCTCCTTCGGGAGTATCCTAAGCATCTTTTTCACACATCATATAATTTAATGTCTTAATATTTCCACTAATTTGTATTTTGCTCCAGACAAGAGGGTAGAGAACTGGCCCATGATGGGATCCCCCTTTCCCACTTTGGCTATCAGCTGCCTGTACTTGCTCTTTCTGTGGGCCGGTCCCAGATTCATGCAGGATCGTCAGCCGTACACGCTCAGAAAGACCCTCATAGTCTACAACTTCAGTATGGTGGTCCTGAACTTTTATATCGCCAAAGAGGTCTGTGTACATTTATGTCTATTAGCGGAAAATGCTCATAAGTGTTTTGTATTAATTTCATATTTTTTGTCAACAGCTCCTAATAGGTTCAAGAGCAGCCAAATACAGCTACCTCTGTCAGCCTGTCAATTACTCCAATGATGTCAATGAAGTCAGGGTAAGAACTACACCATCTTCTGCAATCACTTGTTAGGGCATTAGAGGCAATATATACATGTTAATGGTTGTAGAATTAAAAGTTAAAAGAAACCAGGACGAATGGCGTGTGGCCAAGACTTTGTGGAGGTGTAACCACTATCAAATCAGCCTAAAACATGCACCATGGGTAAAATCCTACAGCTAAGGTGGTCTAAGTCTATCTGAAAATCTGGAGACGGAAGTAGCTCACTGCTCCTGATAGGCTGTCCCAACAGCACTGCTTTAAGGATAGGTCAAATGCAGAAAATGATCAATAAAGTATACCTTAAATAAATGTAAGACCATTAAATACAAAATAATACAGGTGCATTTTGTCATTTTGTCATATTGTCATTTTCATGCAATAAAAATGCCTGTGACCATGATATGATACAAAAAATGAAAAGACTTAATACTCTATGCTAATTCCAACACCACACTGGGACACTCATTTTAATACAATAGTACAATGTAATTTTCAACAGAAAATTACTGTAGTTTCATTAATGGTATCGTGTGGTCAAGAATCTGTTTTAATATTGGTGTAATGTTTGGTGCTGGTAAAAAAAAATATTATCTAGTTTTTATGCTAGTTTTAATATCTGTCTATTAAAATTGCATTTTTGAGACAACCAGTTACTACAAACAAACAAACAAACAAACAAACAAACAAACAGATGATTTAACACTAAACAATCCTCTTTTTCTGCAGATAGCATCAGCTCTTTGGTGGTACTACATCTCTAAAGGAGTGGAGTTTTTGGACACTGTATTTTTCATTTTGAGGAAAAAGTTCAACCAAGTCAGTTTTTTACACGTCTACCATCACTGCACCATGTTCATCTTGTGGTGGATTGGCATCAAATGGGTCCCCGGAGGACAGGGTGAGCAATAACCAAATTTTATATTTTTTACTTTTAGTATATTTATTTATTATTTTTAAGGAATGTATTCTCTGTGTGTATTTCTAATGCTGATTTGATCAATCTTCAGCTTTCTTTGGTGCAACCATCAACTCTTCCATCCATGTCCTAATGTATGGATACTATGGCCTGGCAGCCTTGGGACCTCACATGCAGAAGTACCTTTGGTGGAAAAAATATTTGACCATTATTCAGATGGTAAATATTGAGCCAGTTTAATTTATTTAAGTGTAAAATGTCTTTGCCTTGTTAATGTGTTTAATGTTTCTAATTTGTTTTCTTCAGATCCAGTTTCACGTGACTATTGGCCATGCAGGACACTCACTATACACGGGCTGTCCATTCCCAAACTGGATGCAGTGGGCATTGATTGGCTATGCTGTAACCTTCATCATCCTGTTTGCTAATTTCTACTACCATGCTTACCGAGGCAAACCTTCACATAAGGGAGGCAAGTCTGTGGCCAATGGCACCTCTGCGGTAACCAACGGTCACAGCAAAGTGGACGAGGTAGAAGTGAATGGGAAAAAGCAAAAGAAAGCAAGAACCAAACGGGAGTAAATATTATGCTTCATGCTCCATTTTAACATGAAGGTAACAGAGGAGGGTGGGAAGAAGAGGATAATCAAACCTTATATCATGTCTGTACACTTGTACGATGTGGTCTGTGACCAACTTAAAGGGTGAGTGGTAGCAGCGCATTTATAATGGTGTGAATGGGATTTGGAGGAGAGATGTTGCATTTGATAACTTGATTTTTTATTAAATGAAGGTAAATGCTGAACTTGTAGGCGTGATGCTGCTGTGTCCAACTCTGCTTTGGACCAATATAGGACCAAAAGTTTCACTTGACACATCTACCAGGCATTCAATGTTCATCTACATTTCATAAACAGATCAACTTGTCTGAAACCTTATTTAAAGTATGTAATTTATTTTGCAGTACACTGGAAGAGTTTTATGGCATACTATTTACCTTTCTGCAAATGCTGTACCAAAGAGATATTTTTGTAACACTAACCTTACATTCAGTACGGTGAGGTGAACAAAAAAATCTCCAATCCTCACTGCCATCAACTTTCTAAGATTCTGAACATACCGCATGTAATTCAGTTTACATATCATCAATGTTACGGACTACTGTATTTGAATTTACTGTGCTGCATTTACATCTGCTTTTTGTTTGTGTTTATTTGTTAAGATTTTTTGCCGAAAAGAGAACTGTAGTCTCTTTTAGTACTTCTGTTAAATTTGGGGTTTGATTGTAACATCACAAAATGTTTTCTATCATTCTGCTGTGCATTGTATCTGAACACTATAAAGTTACTCAAGTGTCTAAATGCCAAGATCGCAAAAGGGATCTCTCCCTCATCAAGATCTTGTATAAAGGAATCAGTTTTGTGTATCAGAAAATGGAAGCACAGCTTCTCTATGCACAAGTGACACAATAAAGGCAATGGCAGCACCCCACAGTGTGTGGACGTGTTTGTGTTTAGGACCTCTCTGCGGGGAAGAGGGCTGTTTCAGGTGTGAGAGCAGTGGAGGTAGCCTCTGTCTTTGCCCTGTCCAGACAGATCTGCCCTAATCTTTGAAGCAAATTGGCTTTAGCTTCAAAAGAGCTTATTTCAACGTCACTCCATGAGTTACCCTGGAAACCAGGTCACTAGAAGAGCTGGTGTTAATCAGATATGCTCTTGCACAGATAGTTGTAGTTCTCAAACTCTGCAATGGACCTCATATATTTAATATGACTTTGTGTCATGTTATGGTACAATGTTTTGGTTGAGATCAAGTGTGGCGAGAAAAAAAAAATGTTACAAAGCCTATGTCATCAGTAAATTTTTCAGTTCTCAGTCCGATAGAATGTTCAGAATGAAGTGCACTGCTGCACCCATAGATTGTTACATGCAGAAATGTGTTATATAGCAGATTGTCTTTTGTGATTAACTCTGACATTTTTCCTACGTTGATCCCAACTTTACCACTTCTTATCCCAGAACCTCACCACCTGCTCATGTGGAAAGATGTACCAGGTTGTGGATGTGAATGATAGACTGGATGTGTATTTGTCCTCCTGGGGACACAGAAGGATCTAAGCCAAGGTCTAAGAGGATTGCAGAGTGTCCAAGGCTTTCCTATGAAAGGCATTTAGCACAGCTCTCTGTGGCCTACAGCAAGAAACGTGGGTGCACATTGATAATGCATGGTCAGCATGGGTTTAATGTATAGATGCCGCTTATTAATATAGTGGTTTTCACAGTAGCACTCACACTCTCCACGAGCTAAGCTTATGTGTGTTACAGGGTGAAGGGTCGGTCAGTTTGCACGGTTAAGCCCTACAAACCCTCCCGACACTCACTCATCTCATTAGCAATTATGTGACGGGCCTCACACAGTTGAAACAGTCAGCATTTTACTGGCCCCAGCACAGACTAAGGACCTATACAGATGAACAGCTTAAGCGGGTAAAGAGCACCCCCTTCTGGGCATAAAAATGACTCGTGCTGCAATTCTACATGATTCTAATGATTTACACAACTATATGTAAATACCTTCACTATAATTATGATGTGCACACTCTGAAACTCGGCTGTATCTTACTGGTCTAATTTCTGAAAGAAAAAAACAAACACATATCACCAAGCGTTGTCCTGACATAAAGCCAGTTTTCACCATTATTTTATAGACTGTCAACAAATTGAAAGCACTGCTGGAGCAAACGCTGAAAACTTCTGTAGGGTATGTATGGGCACTTACAGTAGCTCCAGGGAGGGGCCATTCAGATGGGCTGCAGGTCTTCTGAGGGCCGGCAGAGGGAGCCGGAGAGCTGCGGTGGAAAAGCAGCTGTTCGGGCGGATGGTGCTGATGCTGGTGTGTTCAGCGCAAACAGGCGGATGCTGCTGTCACCCGGGAGTCCTAAGTGCAGCACCGGCGAAAAGTTACGATCACCGCGACCTTATTTGTGACTTTACCCGGGTTTTATGCATCCACGTCCTGTTACTACTGCTACTGTAACAACCGGTTATAGAGGCAAAACCCGGCAGGCGAAGAAGAAACATCGTGTCGTGGACTGCAGAGCTGGACAAGATTAGTGGAGAGGAGGATGCTTACAAGCTGAACTTATAAGACTATATTTGAACTTGTATGTAAGATCGACTTGGGGAAAAGCACACAAATGCAGACCAAAACAGAGCTGGGCGCGGAGGAGGAGGCGGCGATGGCGGAAAGACAAGCGGCTACTGAAGCTACAGAGGCGGGGTCCGTGACACAGCAAGACCAGGCCTTTCTCGACGAGATGGAGAGGCTACTGGATGAAAACGACGATCTCAAGGTTTGTCAGTTTTACGATCTGTTTTTACATCTTTTCCCTATGATCTGTCACAAGCTACGTAAACATTGTAAGCAGAAATAATGATTTTCGGCCTAAGGCAAACCTGGGGCGATGGTGCAGATGGTGGCCATTGCAACAAACATGCCACTACTCTTGTTGATGTTTCTGTTAGTACATTTTCTTAACCAAAGATGCATAAACACAATTCAAACATAAAACTATCAAAACTAGTCTAGAATTTCCAGCCAAACTGCAAGGACATAACAGACAACAGAGTGGATATTGATCCACTGATATTGATTAGTCATAAATTGAAGGAAGTGACATAGACAGGATCTTATTGCCAGATAAAATAAATAAAAGGGATAATGGACAATTGCTACATTGTAATGATAGTATAAGTTTAGATTCATTACAATGGTACATATGTTTTATCATTATCAATATTTTGTTTTGATTATTATGAAATATGTGTTGTTTTCTATCCTCAGTGTGAGATAGAGGAGATGAGGGCCGAGATGGATGAGATGCGTGACACTTTCTATGAGGAAGACACATGTCAGCTGCAGGAGATGAGGCGGGAGCTGGAGAGGGCAAATAAAAACTGCAGAATACTTCAGTACCGACTGAGAAAAGCAGAGCGGAAGCGCCTACGATATGCCCAGACTGGAGAGGTCGATGAAGAACTGCTCAGGAGCCTGGAGCAAGATCTCAAAGTACAGGAGACGATGTTACAGGTTAAACTGTGCTTTCAAATTGGTATGTATTAATCAACACTATGATAATTACAGGTAGCTAAAGATGTGTCTGTGAGGTTGCACCATGAGCTTGAGAAGGTGGAGGAGAAACGCACAAAGACTGAAGACGAGAATGAAAAACTGAGGCAGAAACTGATAGAAGTGGAAGTGGCCAAACAAGCTCTGCAAAATGAGCTAGATAAAACCAAAGAGGTACAGTATATGTAGGCTATGTGTAATGCATATTGATTGTTATAGTTAAATGCCCCAGACAGTTGCTACATTGAACAATGCTTTACTAAATGCTAAATAATAAACGCTTTTTGCATTTCAGAAGAGAAGAGGAAGTAAGGACATCCAGAAGCCTGACAAGAAAACTCCAACTGAGGTGAAAAATTTTGTAAAACATAGATGCTTGGTAATGAGTTATGCATTTCAATTGAATACATGCACTAGACTCTAACAGACGACGCTTTCCTAGAGATATACTAGTACTATGTAATTCTTTGAGCAGAGAAATTTGCTGGGGACATGTTTGGAAAGCTCCAGCAATTACTTGAGTCTTAGCTGACTTAAGCATCCTCCTGATCACATGACGTATGCCTGGACACAGAACAGCTTTTCCTGGGAATCACACATCCCCTTTTTGCTTGTGAAGTTCAAGACTAGAGGAACACTGTATATAAGTCCAATTATTACATAATGAGAATGATTTTGATCAACATTCATTACAGTTATAATACAATATATTATATAAAAGCATTAGTTGTAGATTAAGCTTTAAATAGTTATAAGCACCAACTCCTTAGATTATGCATTCAATTATAGTTTGACTTTGATAGCAAAATAACTTTGGAGGGATTTGGGTCTGCTCATATACTAGTAAGCTTGTTTCTTCCTCCACATAAAATAAGTCAGATGAAGACATTGTATCTACAAATACAACCTTATATTGCATGTAATTTCACCTACTAAATCTGCCTTTTTAAAGGAGGACAATGAGGACCTGAAGTGCCAGTTAGCTTTAATCAAAGAGGAGGCTGTACTTATGAGGAAGAAGGCAGCCAAGATCGACAAAGAGAAGGACCGTTTAGAGCAAGAGCTACAGAAATATCGCTCTTTCTATGGAGAATTGGACAGCACCCATCCCAAAGGAGAGGCTGGGGGTCCACCCACCACCCGCGAGTCAGAGCTCAAACTGCGCCTCCGTTTGGTGGAAGAGGAGGCCAATATTCTCGGGAGGAAAATAGTGGAATTAGAGGTAAGGATTTTCTCTGAACCTCTGTTTTCTGTACAATCCCTGCCTACAAATAACCCAGTGTTTTCCAATAACAAAAGAGACTACAGTTGCCCTCTATAGTCTATGTTTTTGACACAGTAGTCTAAAACTAATCTAAACAAAAACTGGTTAAAAAAATTATAATTATACTTTATGCTTGTAGTATTGGCTTAATCATATAGAAGTAACTTTACTGTATTAAGTGATTTTTTTTTAATGGTCAGGCCAGAAAGTCACATTATTCTCCATATACTGTATTGAATAAAATTATTCTATTAAGGATCACTTATGCCACCATAGTCTCACTATAAACTTGGGAAACACTGCAACCAGTAACTTTGTATTCATGATTAGTGCAGGCTATGCAGGTTAGAAGTATACTGCATACACGACTCTTCTCAACTATTAAACTTTTATGCAATTACCATAAGTAGCTTGTACAGATTTACTTATGCATTCTTATTGCAGCTGTGCTCTCCATGGATCTTACCTGTAACTCGGCTGGGCGTCACCTGCTTGGAGATAGATAGGGTTGATGCAATAAAGCTACCCAGGAAAGTAATGGAGAAGAAAACGCATCAAACATAATCAAATAATGGAATTTTGTTTTGTTTTGTCTGTCTGATAGGTGGAGAATCGTGGCCTGAGAGCAGAGCTGGATGACCTGCGTGGTGAGGGAGAGGGGGCAGGGAGCTCAGGGTGTGGGGTGATGGGGGGCATGGGCGCGGGCAGGGGCATCGGGGACGACCTGACGGAGCTCCGGCAGCAGCTGCAGTTGGTGGAGGATGAGGCGGAGCTGCTCAGGAGGAATCTGGCTGATGCTGAGGAGCAGAACCAGAGAGTAACCGCAGAACTCAACAAGCTAAAGTTCAAGGCCGGAACCCACGAGGGAGGGACGCGGCACGGGGCAGGTACAGGAGGCACAGGGATAGATGCAGCAAAGACAGAGGCACTGCAGGAGGAGCTGAAAGCTGCGAGGCTACAAATCAATGACCTCAGCGGCAAGGTTTGTAACAGTATTGTATTTCATGCTATGGCAACAGTCCACCATAGCAATTAAGCAATTAAAACAAATATATTATATGTCTTGCATGGTGAAAATCAGGACGGAATTAT